TGTTCATGCTAGTGAATTGCAACAAACCAAACACAACTTTCTTCTAAATTAAAATATAAACTAATTTTAAATTTGATAAAACCACCATAGTCCCTGAGAGTCGACATATTCTAAGTAATTTTATCCTGCAAAGGATTTGTACTATTGCGAGTGGTAAAATAAAACACATTAGTAATTAATCCCGAACATGTTTATAGGTATTGGGAATAGTATCATAAGTCTAAAATATATAAATTGGTAATAGACCCTCATGTTTTGATGTTAGATGGAAAGGATTAAGTTAATTAAATAATTATGATTTAATCTTTTGTGTTATTTAATTTGTGTAATTAAAAATAATTATTGATTACATTGTTATAATCATTGTTCTTGATATATTTATGATCTACGAGCATGATATATGGCTCTAATTATTTGTTTATCATGATTAAATATGAGTAATTAGTATTGTGATTTGTAAACCATACTTCTATCATATTTATTGTTTTAGACTTGAACTATTGTGGATTATAATTGTTGTGCTATTGATATATGGCTATGATGAGATTTATTTTTGCTTGTGATGTGATCATTGAGATAACTAATAAGCTTGACTCCTTGATGTTTTATACCATCGATAGATATGGTTTTGTTGGATTGATGTGTAGGTGGGCTAACTATTAAGTCATGACACTCTAGTTGTGTTACTGTTGAATATGGCTTTATTTATTGTTGTTGTTGTGTAGGTGGGCTAGCTATTAAGTCATGACACTCTAGTTGTGTTATTGTTGAATATGGCTTTATTTATTGTTGTTGTTGTTGTTATTGTGTGTGTGTGAGCCATGATACGAGCTTGAGGTCTCGAGATCTATGGTTAGGACTGAGACGTATATTGCCGGATTGGATGGGTAGCTGGAATAGGAAATGTGTGTACCCTATTAGAAGGGGGACTCTGGACCATCTCGTGTATGATTTTTCCAAGAGAAACTACACGGTTGAGACTGCCCTATTATCTAGTGAGAGTCTTAGTGTGTATATATGTATGTATCGACTATGTAGATATATCATGAATTTAGTTAGAGATGTATTGTTTATCAGTTCTATGATCAGGTTGTAGTAGAGAGAACTTGTATATGGATCTAACCCACTATATATTTTTCAGGTCCCCGACAATACCAATCTTAGAGTTGCTCATGCAGATAAGAGATTACAGTTTCACTCTTTCGTATCATCGATACAGGATATTATTTCAGATATTTTGTTATTACTCAGACTTAGTAGTTATTTATTTTTTCAGTAGACGTTCTTTCTATTATGGGATTTTATTAGGTATCCTGGATATATGGATTCCCGAGTTGTATTTTGGAGATTTATAATCTATTCGATGGAGTAGTCGTATCAGAGTATTTATTAATTATTAATTATTTATTTTCCCTTTGAGCTTTATTATTTATTTTCCCTTTGAGCTTTATTATTTATTTTATTATATTTCTCTTGTATTCTGTATTAGTTTATTACCTGGTTGTTTTGATATCTCCAGTGTTCGGGTGTGGGCCTAGCCAACCTGCACTCAAAATTCGAGAGTATCACAAATACTTATCAAATTCGGATTGAACATTCGGATGTCTACTTGGTGTCTTTATTCCGTCTCAAATTAGTCATTTATTTAGCAAAGAAATGACCAAACATTCCACTAAAACTGTTGGCCCAAAACCACTCAAATTGTTCATTTAGTAGAGAAATTATTACATTTTTAGCGAGTCATTCACTCTATGGATGTTCCACATGGAAAAGTCACGCGTTAATTAATTGTGTGTAGGGAGAAGTATGTTAACTATTCTAATTATGGGTATTCTGGACTTTGTTAGTCAACTCATTGTTAATGTGGTCTTCCGGATGCATTTTAATTTCGTCACTTTTTCTCTTTTTAATTGCACAAAAATTGATCTTAAATCACCGAATTTTAAATCCAGTTAAAGAGTATACATTCTTGAACAGAGAAACTCCAAATTCTTGAACGGAGAAACTCCAATATAACCATGGGGTATTACATAATTTTAGACTTCTTAGATGGATTTACAAGAGACTCATGAGATTGTCCAACAGTTTTTAAACAAGTATGGCTAGTATCTTTATATGTAAAATAATTTTCAATGTAAAATATTTTCTATGAAATTCATTTTACATAAATCTGTGTTTGTTAAATTATTTTCTGGTGTTTGGTTAGAATTAAAAATAAAAAAATTTTGTTTCAAAGAGTGTTGTTTGGTACGGGTGTAAAATTGGGCACAAGTATTCCCCAAAGACAAGCCACCGCCATATAGACCCTAATTTCCACATTCCAAAATGCTATTTTGTCACAAACCATCAGTTCATTTTTCGCCAGAAACCTAGACATTCGCCGGAATATCCAACCCCACTGAAACTGGTCCTGGAATTCCCAAGCTTAAGATCACCACTGTATCGCTTGTACCCGCCGTCAGTTCTTTGTCGGAATCCGTCAACCGCCACTACTGTTACTCTTGCCGCAGCTAAGTCGCCTTTACCGATCAGCCCACCCTCGTCGCCAAGAACTTTGCGCGTCTTGCGGAAGCTGAGGAAAATGACTTGCGGAGATTTAATCCGTAAGTTAATTTTCCTCTTTTGATGGAGAATATTTTACTTTGAAAAATATTTTCCTTACTTTAAAGTGTTGCCAAACACAGTACTCTACCAACTATGCTGGTACTATGTAAGGTCAAAGTGATCTATTTTAAAAGTTTATTTTATAATTATTGAATTAAATAAAATAATTATACTGCATATATACATTGACAATCATTGTTCATGTACAAAATGCTCTCCAAATTTTTATTTCAAAATATCAAATTATTTTTCTTAAATCAAGTAACTCCGGTAGTCTTTTATAACTCATCTTGAAGCATCTACAAAATGTAATGTCAATTTTAGAACCTTTAATCAGTCTCTCCTCTCCATTGTTATGGAATCTCTTTACACTTGTGTCCCACAATCACTAGAGCAGAGTTAGTTGCTGTAATTTGATAACATGATTAATTAGAAGATAAGGCAGTGCTTAATTTATATTGGGAAAAGCAATTAATTGAGCACCAAACTTTTGATTGATTTTCCAAATTATTGCCAACGAGACTTTAGCATTGTGGTGTGAAATCTTGACTTGAGACATTCATCATAAAGAAAGGGTGAGTGGTGCAAATTGAAAGAGAAAGGAGTTGAAATCGGGACACATTCCAAAATTTCCACATGAAACAAAATTTTCCAAAGCAAAAGCAAGTATGAAGAAAGGGATAGAAGTGAACAAAGGGTTCAAATCTTCTTGTTGGGAGACTTTGACATGACTTTGACAGCTTTCGATAATGGAAATATGCGAAGACTTAGAATGAAGGCAAGCCAAGGCCACATATTACTTATCAGAATTGGTTAGGGAAAGTGACAACTACACTAAAATACATGCTTGCATATTAATACCACACTTGGCTTTCCTCCTCTGATTCACCTCAACGTGTATCACCTTGTCATGATGGAGAAAACTTGCTCCCTTCTTGTTTCTGTTACATTGAAAGAGAAAGGAGTGGTGCAAATTGAAAGAGAAAGGACTTGGAATCGGGGCACATTTCAAAATTTACAACTCAACTAGGACTTGTTTTGTTATTGAAACATGGTAACTGAAATTATGACTCGACTAAGACTTGTTTTGTTACCGAAATATGGCAATTACAAAAATATATCTCACATAACCCACTATTTATTTTTCAGGTCCCCGACAATACCAACTTTAGAGTTGTTCGTGCATAAAAGAGATTACCGTTTCACTATTCCATATCATCGATGTAAGATATTATTTCAGATATTTTGTTATTACTCAGACTTAGTAGTTATTTATTTTTTCAATAGACGTTGTTTCTATTATGGAATTTTATTAGGTGTCCTTGATATATGGATTCCCGAGTTGTACTTTGGAGATTTATAATCTATTCGATTTATTTAGAGTAGTGGTATCAGAGTATTTATTAATTATTAATTATTAATTATTTATTTTCCCTTTTAGCTTGATTATATAATTTATTATATTTTTTTTTGTATTCTGTATTCGTTTATTACATGATTGTTTTAATATCCCGGTGTTTGGGCGTGGGCCTGGCCAATCCGCACTCAAAAATTCGAAAATATCACAAATACTTATCGGATTCGGATTGAACCAAACCTGATTCGGTCCATATCAGACGTCTACTTGGTGGCTTCCTCTGTCTCAAATTAGTCATTTATTTAGTGAAGAAATGACCAAGCATTCCCCTAAAACTGTTGGCCCAATACCACTCAAATTGTTCATTTAGTAGAGAAATTATTACATTTTTAGCAGGTCATTCACTCTATGGATGTTCCACATGGAAAAGTCACGCGTTTTTGTAAGTCAAGTCATCGTTAATGTGGTCTTCCAGGATGCATTTTAATTTCGTAACTTTTTCTCTTTTTAATTGCACAAAAATTAATCTTAGATCACCGAATTTAGATCCAGTTAAAGAATACAAATTCTTGAACGGAGAAACCCCAATATAACCATGGGGTATTACATAATTTTAGACTTCTTAGATGGATTTACAAGAGACCCACGAGATTGTCCAAACAGTTTTTAAACAAATATGGCTAATATGTTTAGACGTAAAATAATTTTCAATGTAAAATATTTTCTATGAAATTCATTTTACATAAATTTGTTTTTATTAAATTATTTTCTGATGTTTTGTTAGAATTAAAAATAAATAATATATAATAAAATTTTGTTACAAAGGGTGTTGTTTGGTACGGGTGTAAAATTGGGCACACGTATTCCCCAAAGACAAGCCACCGCCATATGGACCCTAATTTCCACATGAGCAAAGGGATAGAAATGAACAAAGGGTTCAAATCTTCTTGTTGGGAGACTTTGACATGACTTTGACAGCTTTCGATAATGGAAATATGCGAAGACTTAGAATGAAGGCAAGGCAAGGCCACATATTACTTATCAGAATTGGTTAGGGAGAGAGACAACTACACTAAAATACATGCTTGCATATTAATACCACACTTGGCCTTCCTCCTCTGATTCACCTCGACGTGTATCACCTTTTCATGATGGAGAAAACTTGCTCCCTTCTTGTTTCTGTTACATTTATGTTGTTGGTGCACAACTACTATTACTCTCTCATGGCTTGCTTGGCTGTGAGTACTAGGAGGACTGCAACCAATATCATCACTGATCAATCGGCTCTTCTTGCCCTGAAATCCCATATCACTTACGACCCTCACAACATGTTGGCCAAAAACTGGACCAACTCAACCTCCCCTTGCAACTGGATTGGTGTCCGTTGCAGCACTCGCCACCACAGAGTCACTGCCTTAAATCTTTTTGACATGGGCCTAAGAGGCACCATCCCTCCGCACATAGGAAACCTCTCCTTTCTTACCTTATTATACATCAGAAAAAACAGTTTTCATGGTGATATCCCTAAAGAGATTGGTCATTTGCGTAGACTAGAAGCCATCAGCTTCTACTCCAACGACTTTGCAGGAAACCTTCCTAAAGAAATCAGCAAGCTTGCTAATCTGAAGCTTTTGGACATGCAGTCAAACTGGTTCTCTGGCTCCATACCCGCCTCCATCTTCAATATATCCTCACTGGAAAGAATTTGGTTCACCAATAATAACTTGTCGGGTAATCTTCCAATGGATATATGCTACCATCTTCCAAAACTCTATGAGCTTCTTCTGTCCAATAACCAGTTCGATGGCCAAATTCCTTTCACTTTATATGAATGTTCAGAACTTCAATCCTTGTCATTGTCATATAATAAATTCAGTGGAATGATTCCATCACAGATTGGGAACTCAACCATCCTAAAAGAGTTATATCTTGGCGGAAACAACTTCAAAGGTATGCTAGATTATGCTTTTGTTCTCCCTTACTATATCCATGTGTGTTTGCATACATAGAAGGATTAATCTTATACAGTGATTCTGAAAGTTCTGCAAACCAGGAAAGTTTGGAAAATAGTGCTATATTAATGTTGTATTAAAATTAGTTAGAGGAATAAAAGTATGAGGATATATTCAAATACTTTAAAATCATATAAATAAATAATTTGTCAGCAAATTTTTTTTCTTTAATCTAAAAAAATATTTACTTTTCTAATCACTGCCGGGATAATTATTTTTAATAAATTATTTGTGACACAGTTACAGAACTAGGTAGATTAATTCAGAACTTATGTTCTGATTCAGTTTTTTTTTTTAACTTCTTCTTTCTAAATGGGATTATTTTAAATAAATAAGAAACTCAGTAGAGTACACGGGAGTGAGGGCATACCCTTACTTACGAGTCACGAATCAAAATTGGAAATGAATAAAACCATTACCAAAACACAACCAGCACAAACACCATCCAAAATAGAAAACTACACAGCAAGAGCAGCATTAGGAAGATAAAGCAAGGAGGAGATTGTGCAACTACATGCCCATAATAGTCACGCACTGAAACACAGCCCCATGTGTAACAGCAGCTTAAGATCTCTGAAAGCCATGATGTAAAGCTGAGTTTCTCTTAATCCAAATTGACCAAATTCGACTGTGGGAAATCAGCATTTCAGGAACTTAGTCTTCACAGTTGAACCTCTTATTTGAGCCAAGAACCAGTCTACCAAATAAGTCTAAGACAAGAATACTGGATAGGAATAATTCAATAGACCAAAAACAGAACACCGGATGGATTTAACACAGGAACAATGGTCAAAAAGATTATCAATAGAGTCCAAGCTCCCATAGCAACAATGACACAAAGCAGCGACCACCATTCCCTTCTTCTGCAGGTTAACAAATGAGGGGATAGCATTCTGAACCCATTCTGAACCACCAGAGCCGAAGTGAAAGAATCTCTAGGGCTGCAACCTTTCCAAACTATACCATGCCATTTCAATTTCGTACCCTTCTCTCTAGAAAACTCCCACAGAGATTTAAAGTTGATATCCCCATGATTCCATTTAATTACGTCTCTACCATCAAATATTGTAATAGAGTGAATGTAGTTCTCGATAGCAGATGGGGCCTGTTCAGGTAAAAGCCAATGCTCATTCAGAATGATAAAAGGAAATGGTTGCTTGTCTGTCAAATGGTCTGTAGGCTCTACTACGTGCTTGAATGTGGCTCAAATTTCTTCTCGTGATGCTGTTTTGGAAGAGTTGGACTGGTCCAACTTCTGCAGACTGGTCCAATGTGCCTCTAGATGATGATTGCATTATGAAAAAGTTGGACTAGTTCAATTTTCCATGTACTGGTCCAACGTGTGAGGTATATTTTTGTAATTGGCATATTTCGGTAACAAAACAAATATTAGTCGAGTTGTAATTCCAGTTACCATATCAAACTTGACATCAACCGCGGAATTTGAAGGTTGTTCAAAAGAGGAAAGTACTATTGATCATCAAAAAGGAAAAAACAACACATTAGGACTTCGTTTCCCACTTAGGACACAAATACCTATATGGTATATTTTTCAGAAGTTCCAAAAATAGAAAATCCAAGTTCAAATTGGATTCTGTCAAGTGAGAACTGGTACCTGAGTTTGGGAACCAGTTCCAGGAGCTAAGATTCGAAGAACTTCATTCTATCCTTTGGAAACCGGTGCTAAGATTGGGAACCGGTTCTAGGAGTCCTAATTGCAAAAGGTTTTCAGTTTTCTTATTCTATTTAATTCCTTTTTGATCCAACTTTCCTTCAAAGTCCTATGCACGAAATTTCCTTTATTTTCAGAAGGAATAGGACTTTGCAAACCTATATATAAACCATGTCATACACATAGGTTTATTCACGGCTTTTGATCTACAAATTCATTATTCTTAAAAGCCTTAGGAAGATTATGTTTGCAAAAAATTAGACTTGATTTTTCTGTCATTTTTCTAGAACACATACACATAAACACATAGAAAGTTTAGAGTTGTGGTATTCAAATCCTGATCGTGATCATATAGTTGCATCTACATCGTTCAGACGAAAACAGATCTACTTCTACATCGAATTTAGACGATTGAAGAACAGAAGTAAAAGCAATCACACTTTGAAATGGTTGGAGCACTCAATGAGTGTTGTCTAATCTACCTGCTACTCTTCTACAAATATCAAGCATAAGCTTGAGGTTAAGTGTTGTTGGACGGGGAGTCACAAAGACAAAGGATTGTCAGTAGTTGGTGTTTGGTAGAACGATAGGGTGTGAGTCAAAATCAAAGTTTAGTGTACTTTATTTCGAACATAGTGGATCGGTTTACTTTGAGGTTTTCTCATACAAACAGTTGACATATTTTATCAACTGGGGTTTCTTTGCTAAAATCCTGGTGTCATCTCTAACTTTACTCTGCTTTATTTTATATTACATGATATTGATTTATTAATTGCTAAAATATAAAAAAAGTTAGTAAAAACAAAGATTTGTTTTAAAATAATCAAAACTTTATAAGTATTTTCCATTGCGTACGACTCACACAACGTGCCTGATATGTGCGCGAAGGAATTTCCTATTCCGTTTTGGAAGTTAACTTGTGGAAAGAGACTGGAGATTTAGGGAGGAATTTGTGGCATATAGGCTGTTATTTTAGAGTAATGATTGATATGGTAATTCTTGTAGGCAAGTTGAGGAATTTTTGTCCAACAACGAATTGGGTTTGAAGACTATAAATAAAGATGGGTGGGAAAGATTATGGTTGAGAGAGGAAAGATGTAAGGGGTTTAAGGTTAGTGTTGTAAGGAAAGAAGATGAGAGAATATGAAATTCCCGAGTGTAGAGATGGTAAGTGATAGAATGGGATTTTGACATCTGGTTTTATATTCTGTTAGTGAAATCCCTCTCTATATGGACGTAGCCCTAGAGTTGGGTGAATCATGTAAAATATTGTATTGTGCGTGGATATGTATGATTGTTATTTCCATATATGCTTGTTGATTGATGTGATGATGATACTTCCGCTGTGTGTGATGAAGGGGGATTTAATTATCTATGATAGCCCACCATGGAGTGGGTTAGAGTAAGTTAATATCCATAACATTTGGTATCAGAGATAATGGTAGGTCAAAGCATATGGTTGGTCCTGAAGATCAGAGGCTCATAGCAGAAGGTTGGTATGAAGTTTGTCAGAACAATCGTGATTGCTATAGAGATTTAATTATAGTAGATGATGACACAAGTACATCATGGTGTGAAGATGTAATACCCCTGATTTTGTAAGGGTTATAATTGGAATTTTAATATTTATTTTATTGTTTTCATTATTTATTTTAATTATTTTTGGTATTTATGTGGCTAGGTGCTTAATTGTTTTATTTTTTTGTTTCCATTTGATTTAAATTTAAATTTTGTATTTGAAGTTGTCTTATTGGATTAATTATTCTATTTAGTTTGATTGTGTTTTTTTTTTTCTGTGATTGCGTTAGGTTCGGTTTAAATGTTGTGTGATTTTATTTATGGAGTTAAAGGAGCTAATTAGGTTTAAATTATAAATGAATTAAAGTTTGGTACATCTCACGCCGACTAGAATTAAGTTTTCCATCGTGGATTAGGATTCGGGTTTAGGGTTTCTTGAGGCTTATATATATATATAATGCTATGGTCTTCAAAGGGTGGAAACCTTATGCACGTACAATATAATGGAGAGAGAACAGAGAGGGAACAGAGAGAGATGGTGAGGAAAACAGAGGAGGAGACGAGGGTTTTGGCCAAGAATTAAGGCTGAACCAAGGAGAGGAGGAAGGGATGCTGCTCATGGGTTAAACCTAGGGCAACAATGGAGTGGATGATAGTCAGGAGGTCACCGGAAAGTCTGGACAGAGGACGGCAAACTAAAGTTACAGAGGCAAGTTCTATTCTGTCTCTCTCCCTTTGGCTTGTATTCTGTGCATTCATAACTGTTCTCTAGGATGTTAAACGGATCATGCATGCTTAGTATATGATAAATTAATTATCTATAGGGGTTGAAATTAAACTGAAATCATTTTATTTTTAAGTTTGGTTTCACTATTAAATCTGTACGCATGCTAAATCGGTAGCACGTTTAATCTCTGTATTTGTTTGCAACCATTGAATATAAAATAGGGGAGTGCTACTGGGGTTATATAAAACTCATGGGGTCAGTTTTATCCTATTTAATGATGTGTTGCAATTTAATCTGTTTCAGTTTGTGCTTATTGAGTTTCAGTGTTAGTCTTTAAGCATATTCTATTTGGTAAGTGTTCTAAGATTTTTCAATGATGCCCACTAGTGTAACTAATGTTTAAGATGTTACTGGATACTCTTAGAACCCTTAGAATCAGTTTTATAAATCAACTGAATGGTAGAAATATGCCAGAGATGAAGCAGAGGGTCGGTGCCGGAGCAAAAAGGGGAACGGAGCTTTCAAATGAGGTGAGAGCCGGCTCCAGGAAGTTGGGAGCCGGCTCCCCCTTCATTGAGCCGGCTCCAAGAGTATAGGAGCCGGCTCCAAAGTGTTTTGGAGGCTGCTCAACTTGTCTAGAGCCGGCTCCACTTTTCTTTTACGTTCTGTGGTTAGTTGTAAGGCACTGTTTGATATTTTTGGCACTGTTTGTGTTCAAATTAGACTTTCTGAACTGTGTTGAGTTAGGGAAAGGTTTTTAAAAATTAATTCATGAAGTTTTTAAGCCTTAGGGTGTATTAATTTAACTATATGCTAATGTTTTAAACCGTAGGAAAATCTAAGGCTAGTCACAGGCAGTTTACGGATTTAGCGGATCGAAAGGATTTAACTGTGCAAACCGTGTCTAAAAATTAAAAAAAAAAAAAGAGTTGGAACATGGATTCCAAACATTATACCATGCTATCTTTAATAAATTAAGGTCTTAGTACTCATGAATTTAACCGTAAAAAAGTATATAACA